GGTGGCCTGGGCTCGGGGTGACTCTCCCCGGAGGTGCCGGTACCGGTGGCTCCCCCGCAGGAACGGTGCCATGGCCGCGGACTCGGAGGTGCTGCACTTCCAGTTCGAGCAGCAAGGCGATGCCGTGCTGCAGAAGATGAACCTCCTGCGGCAGCAGAACCTCTTCTGCGACGTCTCCATTTACATCAACGACACCGAGTTCCAGGGGCACAAGGTGATCTTTGCCGCCTGCTCCACCTTCATGCGGGACCAGTTTCTGCTCAACCAGTCGAAGCAGGTGCGGATCACCATCCTGCAGAGCGCCGAGGTGGGCAGGAAGCTGCTGCTCTCCTGTTACACGGGGGCTCTGGAGGTCAAAAAGAAGGAGCTGCTGAAGTACCTCACGGCAGCGAGTTACCTGCAGATGGTTCACATCGTGGAGAAGTGCACCGAAGCTTTGTCCAAGTACTTGGAAATCGACGCTTCCATGGAGAACGGTCACCAGGCTGCAGAGAGGTGTCATTCCTCAGATGCTGAGCTGAGAAACGGGGAGGAGGCTTCAGAGAAAGACTGTGAAATAATAGAGATCTCTGAAGACAGCCCAGTGAACGCAGAGTACCCGGTGAAACAGGAGAAGGGAGAGGTCTCACAGCCCGCAGCGCAGAGCTTGGTCGCGGAAAGAAAGGACACAAAAACCCCAGAGATATCGACAGTGGAGATCGGATATAAGGACGATGAAATCTGTATCTTCAGAATGGATTCTATGAGCGTAGCCAATGTGGAGAATGATCGTTTTCCTCAGCCTTGCACATCCTCTAAAACAAACTTGTATTTTCCGGAGACCCAGCACTCCTTGATAAATTCTACAGTTGAAAGCAGAAATACAGAGATGTCAGGAAATCACTTTCAAGCTTTTGTCAGTGACAACACAGAAGGAACTTCTAGTCTGATGAACGGGTTCCAGAGCCTGGATGATTCTGGCAGTTCATGGCGGCACCAATGTCCAAAGTGTCCGAGGGGATTTCTGCATCTCGAGAACTATCTCAGACATCTAAAAATGCACAAACTCTTCTTGTGTTTGCAGTGTGGGAAAACGTTTACTCAAAAAAAGAATCTCAACAGACACATCCGTGGGCACATGGGCATCCGGCCCTTCCAGTGCATGGTGTGTCTGAAGACCTTCACTGCCAAAAGTACGCTGCAGGATCACCTGAACATCCACAGCGGTGACCGGCCCTACAAGTGTCACTGTTGTGACATGGACTTTAAACACAAGTCTGCTCTTAAAAAGCATTTAACTTCTGTTCATGGAAGGAGTAGTAGTGAAAAAACAACCCTGAGCACTATTACAAAAGTTAAAATAGATTATGATTAACAGATGGGTGGTTGTGGAGCCGGGCTCCACAAGAAGCTCCTGCCTAGTGAAATTGTAGATGGAATTCTGGAGGTAGATGTGCATGTACTGGAGAGAAGCACAAATATGTGACTGGTGATCACAGACAGGCCTTGCGAGCAGCACATTTGCTGCTGTGCTAAGGTTGCTATTGCTGTAAGTGCAAAAACAAGGTGTTGACTAGTTGAAAGTCAACTGCAAAAGGGGGGAAATTATTTCACGCTTCTCTCGTATTATCCTGGATGCGTCCTGATTTCCCACCCCCTCCCACCATGTTTTCCACTCCCCCGTTTCAAGGACAAGCACTGCTGATTTTCAGACTGTTCCTGATACTGCAATAAGCTGAAGCCTGAGCCGTGATGTTCCTGAACTATCACAGATGAGGAAAGGGGATGTTTGTATTTATTCAGCGAGTCATTCCCGCCCAGTTCATGTGTTGTGTATGGTGAATTCATCTCCTTCCCTGCCCAAACTCTTTCAACAGGAAGAAGGGGTGTTTCACACTCACAGTCTGTGATATTTAAGAAAGGACATACAGCAAATGAAAAATAATCAAGGAAACTTTCACATTGCCTCTTGCAAATAGAGAATTGGTAAAAGAGAAACAAACAGCATTGCCTTGCGGTTCATTTTTAACCAGACAGTCTCATTAGAAGGACTTGCTTTCAGTTTTATGAATGAGTTTTGGGTTTTTTTCTAAACCTCTCTCTTCTGATGGTTTTTTTCTGTCATCCCCATGTTTTGCACCCGTGTTTGACTAATTAACATTGTTAGTCCTGTTTGTTGAGTTGTAACATCTGCCTTCCTCTTTTACAAACCTTAGACACGTGCACTAATGTGAGGAATTAAGGTGTGTGCTGTTATGTAATAGCAGTTTCTACGTTAATTTTGAAAACCAATCCTTTCTATCTTATTAGGAGCAGCTTAGACTCAGAGGGCTTCTCCTACTCCAATTCTGTGATACAGTGACACAGTAACTACATGTGTTTGGATAGATGTGTTTGTACTTTGTCAAAGGTCATTTCAGCTCCATCACAAGCACTGAAAGCCCTGTAACACAGAATCTTGAATCCTGTCTTTGCCTGGTGTATGTTTCTTCCACTTAATGTGATATGAATGAAGAGTCAATTCAGTTGTTAATATGAGCTAAAGGTACTTACTTAGATTCTCTCCAATTAGCAAAAAGCAGTAGCTCTTAATCCTGTCTGTATCACGAGGGTACAGTTCCCATCAGACTTTCAGAAGGGCTGTTACCAAGTTCTTGTTCCAAGTCCAGAAGTCTGGCCCGTGTGCTCCATATCTGGCTGGTTTAAAAATCAAAGACAATAGTTTTTAATGTCAGTCAACAGGTTTCATTTACTTTCCTTTCCTGTGTCTGTGACATTGTCTGGGGGTTTACTGATCAGCTACGTGAGGGGTTAGGTGGGCACAGCCTCTACCGTGCAGTTTCCTGTTGTGCCAGTGTTATTGCTGTCTTCACGTCTTGGAAATTTCAGTTGAGTTTTTAAAAACATGTTTCACGAGGAATTTTGAAGCTCTTAATCTGATATTATTAACACTTAAAGTACATCTGGGTCATATTGCAGCAATATTTGTAGGTCCCAGATCATACTGGGCTTTATTATAGCAGGCAGTGTCTGTCTTCCTCAAAAACCCCGTGGTCTGAACAGACAAGTACCTTTCACAATCTCTGCTGTTACTTCATGTTAACAGTTGATGATAATTTGCTTTATTTTGGTGATTTTTAACTACAGTAATTGTCATGGTTGATAATTTGCTTTATTTTGGTGATTTTTAACTACAGTAATTGTCATGGTAATTACTTTGTGAGTCACGTATGTTGCAACTGCCTGACGTTTTGCCAAAAAAAATTGCCTTTTATAGCATGTCTTCTGTTTGCATTCGTTAGTCTGTCACTGTCTACAGCCTTTTTGACCTCGTGATTAGTATTGTTTGCTTGTTTTTCACAGAATCCCATTAATTTTGGTACTTAATTGCAAAAAAACCAATTAAGAGGCTGGTTTTCAAAAGCACGCCAACGGCTGCACTCGCCCTTACTGTATGTACAGATGTTAACTTGGGCACACGTACGGGTTTGTGTGCAGCTTTTCATTTGTGTCTCCAGACTTAGCTCCTTAAAAGAAACTCCTCCATCCTTGGAAAAGGTCAGAAAACAAGGAAAAAGTTTACTTCTGCCCCCCCATCCTTTTTACATTGGGCTGCTGTTACTGTAGTTAAGTAAATAAATGTATTGTGCATTTATGGGACAGATTTTGGATCAACTGTGCTTAATTTGTTCAGTTTATACGCTTTTTTTGCAGATGTATGATGATCATTGATAACACTTCAAAAGATTGTTCCTTGGTTTTTTGTTTGAGTGTTTTTTAGATACAGGTATACACAGGTATTTCCCTGTGTGTCAGAGGGGAAGCAGAGGCTGATCTTTTGAAGTGTATCTTCTGTGGGAGCAGGACTGTGAGGTTTTTTTTGGTCTGCTGTTGTATTGCATGTAAAGATGAGAGGGAGTTGTGTTGTGTGACCGGCCAACAGCATGTTCTGTTCCGTGGCTAGAGTGTTGTGGTAAACTTTGTGAGAAAACCCTGATTTTGTGCACATGTTCACATGAAAGGTGTTTTCCTCTCCCCTTTCCATACATGTAACCGCTTGTCCTGTCATAACACAATAAACGAAATGCAAACAAAACATTCTTCAGAGATATGTATGCTTCCTTCCCATCACAGTTAAATAATTCTGTGCATACCTCAGCATTCACTATTTTGCCTTGCAATGGGGAGCAAACAGCGTGTTGTCAACAACATACGGTGCTCGAGCGGCTGTCGTCCAGTAGCGTTTTCTCTGTCCTTCAGAAGGATCTACAGCAGCACCTGCTTGTCAGATGAACGCTTCCTCCTCAGACCCCGCAGCTCTGCACGGCCCCAGCACTGATCAGTCACCTGCTTTGAGCTTTGGCAGTGACCAGAGGCACGAGGTGCTGCTGCTCCTGTGCGTTCCTCTGGGGCGGCCTGTGGTAAAGCAGCAACCCAGGCGCTGCCCACCCCACCTCTGTACCGCGCTGGCC